CCTTATTGTAAGCAGAAGGATATTTCAAAGATCCAATATTCTTCAAATATAATGACTCGACTATGACTCTAATTGACAATCATATTGCTTAACTGACCGAAGAAGATCTGATTAGGAAAAGACAGAATGACAGTTTCAATTGTCAACCCTTTCAAAAAATAAATTTCATCGGGAATATGAAAAAAAAGAATTCATGCTGTTTTGGTTAAAAAAATCAAGCAAATTGTATTCTATTGATCAATATGTTGACGACTCCATGACGGAAGAAAGTAATTTCAAAGGCATACATTTCATACATGAAGGTACTGATCTATATATTATATTTGATGAAACAATTTAATCTGTCGATTACACTGACAATATAGGCTGATATGTACACAATAAAAAATAAACACCGTCAACTCTTAAAAAGCATCAAACTTCAAAAGAAAACCTAGCCAACATTGGCAGACTACCTTTGGCCTTCCATAAATACAGCAGATATTCTCTCAAAATTAGATTATGCCCATGAAACAAAAGCACTTGTTCAAAGCATCATTAAATTATAAACCCATAAAAATCATGTAATTATTGATTTACCAAGGGGTCTTTATAGCTCTTCAAAATAGAGGAATCTCTTCTCTTGAGAATGCAGGGATCTGAGCTTGCACTTAGAGAGTACAAAAACACAATACGAAGAATGAAATCTATTCATAATCATAAGACTATGTACAACGTATTGCGTGACACTAAAAGGTACAGAAGTCAAAGTATCGAATCTTTAAGTGTACATTGAATGGTAGGAATTGATCTCAAGTTAAAGCGATGACTTATTTAATTAGATCTGGATTGTGGTAGGGCTGACCTATTGAATATCCCATTAGCATCCGTCTGCTCAAAATTTCATTACGATCGTATATTTTGCACTTTTTATGAATAAAATTTGAATAAAGTGTTATAGTTTTTTGCATTTCTGTACAATTTCATATCTGGACTTTGTTTGTATCTACTTTATTTCATGTTTATTTCATTCATTTTCATGTAATTTCTCAAAAAAATAAGAACAGTTCAATTTCAAAAATGGGATAAGGCTCTACCTTACTTGAGCTGACACCTTTGAATCATCGAAGACTATACTTCATATTTTTCATATAAAATAACTGATCCATGGGCGTAGCCAGGGGGGGGTGCGATGGGTGCGATCGCACCCCCCCCCCATAACCTTTGAAAATATGACCATTGGATAGAAAAGGTAGAAAAGAGCTTTAAAATGCTTTTTATTTGAAGCTTCTAGCTCAATTTTGAAGGAAGTTGCATCAATTTTTGTAAAATTCAAAAGAAATCTTAATTTTTTGTGTTGCTTTTGGCAAAATCGCACCCCCCCCTGACCGAAAACTGAAAAATTTTCGGCGATCGCACCCCCCCTGACTGAAAGCTGGCTACGCCCCTGTGATCCATGAAATAAACAAGGAACTAAAACATTGCATGTTCATGAGCAACCCTTTTGGCTTATTAGTAATGATTATGTTATTTGTTTTTATGTGTCTGCTGCTTATTAATGGTTTATTGGATGACATTAGATGTTAATAAGGTACTTTTAAAAATATACTAAACAATACAATTAGACAAACAGAGTATCTTATGCATTTCTAGGAGTTAGGTATAGTAGAGTGTACATGTACGTATATTAAAAACTTGATTCATCAGTCATTTGAATCACAATCTCTATAAGATTTCCACCAAGTGCTATCCACCAAAGGCTATTTAGACCGTAATCAACTTTTCATTGACTTACAAACATAGTATACTTATGAATACAAAATAATAAAAAAGCTAATTATATGACTGAATGGTCACTCGTTACCACAATGTCCTAGAATGGTCAACTAAGCACACAATTATATTTGCTTTTATTGATTTTTCTTTCATTCTTAAGGGATGGTAAATCATCAACAGCTGTAAAATAATAAAGTTAGTTTCACTGTAGGGGGAGGGGGGGGGGTAAATGATGGTTTCAGTAGCAAATAGTATTGATTTTTTAACAAGTGAAATACAAATAAACATTTAAAATTCCGTTAGATGAGCAGAGAGGAGGTGTCAAACCATAACAAAATGAACTTTATTTTTCCACGACTGTAATAATGATTGGCCAGAGTCCCTAAATATAGATAGACACACAAAAACTGTAAAGTGAAACACCTCCATATATAGAACACTATTCAAATCCACATACCCCAATAACTCAATGTTACTGAAATTTCTATAAGTGGAACACCTCCCAGGTGGAACACTATTTTGAAGAACCAAGTTCAACTTGGAACACCTCCCAAGTAGAACACTATTTTGAGGAACAAAAGGTGTTCCACTTATTCAAGTTTCACTGTACACAGATATCCAATAAATTCAAATGGGAAAACGAAATTGTTATACAGAACTGAAACAATTGCAATCATTTTGGAGATTTACTGCATATTAGAACCCCAGACTGACAACTAGTATCATATCTTTAATATCCAAAGCTTGTGGTAATCTAGTGTGCTCATATTTGTTCGCTATTTTGTTTCCTCTGAGCTCTATTGGTTTCCAGTTTGTTTAGTGACCCTTGTTAGATTTTACTTCAATAGATTCAGCATTGGAATCAACTAGCTGCTCATATTTGTTCGCTATTTTGTTTCCTCTGAGCTCTATTGGTTTCCAGTTCGTTTAGTGACCCTTGTTAGATTTTACTTCAATAGGTTCAGCATTGGAATCAACTAGCTGCTCATATTTGTTCGCTATTTTGTTTCCTCTGAGCTCTATTGGTTTCCAGTTCGTTTAGTGACCCTTGTTAGATTTTAATTCAATAGGTTCAGCATTGGAATGAACTAGCTGCTGCGCCTTGTTGAGAATTTGAAAACACCTTGCACCCATTTAAGGGCTTTGTACGCAATTAAAAAATCATCTGCACCCAATTGAAAAATCATTTGCGTCTACTCGTAGATGAAAAAATGTTATGTATTAAGTTGGAAAAATCCTTTGCATCCTGTAGAAAAATATATTTACACCTAGATGAGAATTTGAAAAAGCATTTGCATCTTGTTGAAATATCATTTGTACTCGATTGAAAAACTTAACATGATTTTTCTTATCTTCAAATGGGTGCAGAAATATCCTTTGCACTCAATTGAAAAACTTAACATGATTTTCCTTATCTTCAAATGGATGCAAAAATATCATTTGCACTCAATTGAAAAACTTAACATGATTTTCCTTATCTTCAAATAGATGCAAAAATATCCTTTGCACTCAATTGAAAAACTTAACATGATTTTCCTTATCTTCAAATGGGTGCAAATGTGTGCAAATTGGGTGTTGGTGCAAGTTTTTTTGAAATATCAAGAATATGCAGCTCTTAATGCAAAAAGATCAATACTTTTACAATAGTTTAAAATAGGATCTTTGCTCTGGCTGTCAAAAGTGCATTATTTTAGAGTGTCACATTTGGTGGAATAAAGGCAATATATTGTTAAATGAAATTAAATCTGTGACAGATTCAATCAGAATTTAGCCCTTGGGAAAAATAATATCGTAGTCGTCTTTTGGAAATATAAGGCAAAATAGTGTGGAAAAGAGTGGAATCAGCAAGGAATAAGTAAACAGGCATGGAGTGAAAACTTTAAATTGTATAGAAATGCATGGAAATCAGACACTTCATTCAAATTTTAGAGAGAAATGAGTGGAAAAGGCAAGAACAGTTTTGAAACAAGTCATCATAAAACATCTTTATTCAAATTGAGTTTTTCAAACTTCTAACATATTGTTTCAAATCACCCTTAGTTCAGACACTCACAAAGTCTGTTACACTGCTTCAAAGGCAAGCAGTTGAACCTGAAAAATAAGAAATCAGGAGACCATTGTGCAATAATATATAGAAATATATATTTATATTGCACATGAATGACATTTGTATATCTTGGATTGCTTGTAAATTGGCTTATAAAGTCTGTAACCTCTTATATTTTGATGCTTCTCTGCCATGTTAATTCTGAAAAAAATAACATGCAGATAGACCTCAAATTACAAGAGGGCACAGGCTTATTGCATTAAATACTAAATAATCTGAAATATACAAATGTCATTTGTGTGCAATATGAATATTTTTTCTCTGTATTATGGCAAAATTGTCTAGAGATTTCTTATTTTTCAGGTTCAACTGCTTGCCTTTGAAGCAGTCGTAACAGACTGTAGAAACACTTCACTAGCTTGCTTGTAAATATCTAACTTTGTCATCAAAATAAGTCCTCATTTCCTGATGGTTACATCATATAAAATCTTATCCTCTGGAACATTAACAGGGGTCTCGCGGGGCTTTTAGACAGTGGCGCAGCACCACACTCTATTTATCCCCCAACACAACCTTTTGGCAAATCATGATTGTTTCCACAGTCCAATATTTTTCTACTACACATGAAACTCTGTTCCCTGGACCCCCCCCCCCCCCTTATATTAATATGTATATTTGAGGAGCCAACGAGAATGATAATATGGTGATTACTCACTAAATATACATCTACATAGATCTACATCTACTTTCATAAAGTTTATGCTATAAGTAAAAAATATCACATTTAATGTTAAGGAAATGAAAAATGAATCAAATCATTAGAAATATGACCTCTCCCGAGAATATGGAAATCAGTCTATTTAAGTTTCATTAAAATCCAGTTCGATACTCTTAGCAAACAGGCACCCATAGCATCAATATGGATGAAAGTCTCATATCATTTTTATCATTATACAGTATCCCAATGCATATAACATGATATGGGATAAAAATTACACATATGAACAAAAATAAAATTTTGTTGATTATGAGCGCCATCTAACAATGAACAAACAGTCTAATAACAACAACAACCAATGTGATATAATAGTAGCCTGACACTGAGTCAAGCTACCATGGAAACCAATCTAATTGTACATCATTTTCTGGGGAAAGAAATTAATCAACAGTTTGATGTGATACAGAAACATGTACTTACTATTCGAAGACCATATACAGCATGCCATCTGAACTGTAGGTCTCCAACAGGCCAACAATATGAGGATGTTTCAACTTGTGACAAATACAGGCTTCCCTCTTTAAATCTACAAAAATGTGAAAATGTGAAAGTAAGAACATATACAGCATGCCATCTGAACTGTAAGTCTCCAACAAGCCAACAATATGAGGATGTTTCAACTTGTGACAAATACAGGCTTCCCTCTTTAAATCTACAAAAAATGTGAAAATGTGAAAGTAAGACCATATACAGCATGCTATCTGATCTGTAAGTCTCCAACAAGCCAACAATATGAGGATGTTTCAACTTGTGACAAATACAGGCTTCCCTCTTTAAATCTACAAAAATGTGAAAATGTGAAAGTAAGACCATATGCAGCATGCCATTTGAACTGTAAGTCTCCAACAGGCCAACAATATGAGGATGTTTCAACTTGTGACAAAAACAGCATTCTCTCTTTAAATCTAGAAAAATGTGAAAATGTGAAAGTAAGACCATATACAGCATGCCATTTGAACTGTAAGTCTCCAACAGGCCAACAATATGAGGATGTTTCAACTTGTGACAAATACAGGCTTCCCTCTTTAAATCTACAAAAATGTGAAAATGTGAAAGTAAGACCATATGCAGCATGCCATCTGAACTGTAGGTCTCGTGATAATAAAGTCATACATTATTTAAATGAGTGGCGTGACATCTTTCTTAAATGAAAAACAATTCTTTAAATGTTTCAAGTTGAAATATCACACAAATCAATACTCCATACTGACAAACATTGATTTCAGAATTATATCATAGGTTAATTGTCTTTTACACCTCTCAGTTGATTTCATAAAACTGGTGAATCTTTAATTAACTTACCATCTGTAGTTAGGCCAGGACTTGACGTGAATTTTGCAACATCAACTATTTTTACTGCAAATTGTTGGCCAGTTTTCTTGTGAATGCATCGTCTGACTACACTGAAAGGACCCCTGAAAATAGCAAAAAATTCACATAAAAATTCTGAAAAACCTCTGTCACAAAGATGTTACCATAAGTATCTATTTGGGCAATTTCTGAAACTAAGGGGCCGATGTCGTGTAATAAAACAGGGTGCCTTGAACAAAATCTCCCAAAATAGGCACCTTTTCTAAAAGATCAGACCTTTTTTTCAAAGGACCAAATTCTTGGGTCAAAAATCTACAAATTGCCTGTACATTTAAATAATAGCTATTAATGCCTATAGAATGTCTTTTAAAATATACTACCAAGAAATAAATGCTTTATAAAAATATAAGACTAACTAAAGAAGTTTATATGATGAAAACTGCACACTAATCCCAAGATACAAGAATGCATGTTTTAATGTGATAGATGAAAAGAAGAAATTTTATAAGAAATGTCGAGAAAATGGATTCTATCAGTAAGCAAGAGGCGACTCTCAGCTTATTTTTACCAAAAGTGCCCGTTGTTTTGAAGAATTGCAACTTATCCAAACCTTCCATTTAAACCTCTGTTAAGATTATTATATTAGATCTTTGCCTGTTTTGCCTGTGGCTTCATTCAATTTAGTTGTCAGAAATCCAGATGAAAATCCTGAGACGAAGCCAATTAATTATCCCAAATTTCAAAATAATTACTTATATTGATAAATGAGGAAACAAAAGGCTTGATATGAGACTAATAGGCCAGAAAATAAAAGGGATATCAATATCGTACTGGCTCAGACTGTAGCATCTTAGAATAACTAGAACTTGACAAGCTTAGCCCCGCCTCCTTACCATATTTGGAGAGGAAGGCGGAGGGAACAAAAATTACATATTGTACTTGCTCAGACTGTGGGACCTTAGACAAGCTTTGTCCCGCCTCTTAACCATTTTGAGAGGAAGGCTGAGGGAACAAAAATTCCATATTGTACTTGCTCAGACTGTGGGACCTTAGACAAGCTTAGCCTCACCTCCTTACCATATTTGGAAAGGAAGGCGGAGGGAACAAAAATTCCATATTGTACTTGCTCAGACTGTGGGACCTTAGACAAGCTTTGTCCCGCCTCTTAACCATTTTTGAGAGGAAGGCTGAGGGAACAAAAATTCCATATTGTACTTGCTCAGACTGTGGGACCTTAGACAAGCTTAGCCTCGCCTCCTTACCATATTTGGAGAGGAAGGCTGAGGGAACAAAAATTCCATATTGTACTTGCTCAAACGTTGGGACCTTAGACAAGCTTTGCCCCGCCTCCTTACCATATTTGGAGAGGAAGGCTGAGGGAACAAAAATTCCATATTGTACTTGCTCAGACTGTGGGACCTTAGACAAGCTTTGCCCCGCCTCCTTACCATATTTGGAGAGGAAGGCTGAGGGAACAAAAATTCCATGTTGTACTTGCTCAGACTGGAGGACGTTAGACAAGCTTTGTCCCGCCTCTTCACCATATTTGGAGAGGAAGGCGGAGGGAACAAAAATTCTTGAGTTTCCAATTCCTATCAATAACTGAACCATGTCATAATATTAAATACTGTAAAGAAAAGGAATAGAGAATCCTGTTTAAAAACATGAGTGCATGTTCTAAAGAAGTTCAATCATGTCTTCATACTTTATTTACTAGTATAACAGAAAATAACATGTGCAGGTAAAAATAAAATATGTCAACACCACCTAATTGCTCACAAGTTCAATCTTAAGTCAGATTTGAACTTCTGAAAAATATTGAAGTCTGGCTAAACAGTATTTGTTAAGTTATTGAAAGTTGGAAGAATTAATTACAGACGCTGACCGCTGACTGCCAGACGCCATCACAAAAAATGGAGACCTAATAACATTATGTCACCATTTTTGGTGGTGACGTAAAAATGTTTCCTTGAACACGTGCCTTAAAAACAAAAGTTGATAAAAATCCACCTACTAAAAAAAATCCTAGGGGATTCACTATATACAATACAATACAATACAATACAATACTAAAGTATAAGTATTTAAAAATCCAAGAACATTTGCTACTTCCTTCAAATTTTGAAAATATATTGAAGAAATCGAGCAGCTTGAGCAGACGGATGAAGCACATGCAAGAGAGAATGTTAACTGTTACATCTCTGCGTATTTCATTGCAAGTGACTTCCTGTTGTTCAATATAATAGGAACATTCTGACATTTTATGAGGCAATTGACCAAGGAATTGCACTAATTGATGAATGAATGTGAAATCAGGTAGAATAGCTCAACAGATAAACATTTTTAAATGCAATAGGCATTTCCTTTAATTTGGGCCCAATTTGGGGTTTTAGGGGCGAAACAATTTTTCAGTCTTGCAATGTGCCCCTCCTCCCTATTAGTTTTCACATCCGCCCTCGAATCAGTAAGGAACAAAATAAGCAGATGACTCAACACTCTAAATTGTAAAGATGTCCAAGAAAATCAGAGTTTTATTCAATTTGTTTAAAATTCAAGAACAAATGACATAGAATTAGCCAGACATCCTGTACAGGCCAATGTTTAAAATGCAAAACAGAGGAAATCAGTTGAGAGAAGTAAGTAAATGGGCATGGGATAGAGACTCTGAATTATAGTACAGTAAACTTATCTTAGTGAACACCTCTCTTTGGTAAACACCTGTGCTAAGTGAACACCACTTCAAGACACATTTTACATTGACTACTGTATAAAAATCTCTCTGTAGTAGACACCTTTCTATAGTGAATATTTTCTTGTATTTTCTTGCTCCATAGGTGTTCACTTTATACTGGTTTCACTGTATATAAATCAGTCACAGGTATGAAATACTTTCAAGTAAAGATGCCCAACCCTCCTGCTGGGTCTATTATCTTTTAGCAGACAGACATTTGTACATGACAGATCTTTGTAAAAGTCAAGATCAGAAAAGGCGGGTCACTAATTATCTTAACAAGGCAAAAAATTGTAGGATGTAGCAATCTTGCATCGCATGCTTGTTGACGTTGCCACCAATTGATATTTTCAAAACAAAATAGACTTGCAACCACCTGAGCGCCCATTTGAACCCATGTGAAAAAGAGTCAAATTATGAAATAAAACTACTATATATTTTGATTAACTTCAGTAAAATTGTGAAAATAACAGCTCTTAATTATTCTATGCATACAAACGCCTAGAAATCAGACACTTAATAACACAGGAACGGAAGAGTCAATTAACTTAATTCAATCTTGTTTGAGAATGGTGCCAAGGGCAAAGCTAGCATGCGTGAATTGTTTATAAAGCAGTGTGAACAGGTTAATGAAAACATTGAATAGAATCAAGGTGAGCTAAAATATCAGTTGAAGCTGAACCTTGTCTGAATTTCTAAAAGTAACTGTCAATTCGATTTTCTAAGAGCTTAATTAATCGTTGTATTAAGGCCAATTTTTCAAAACATGACACCTATCCTAACTAAAATTATTGGTTAAAAAGAAGCGAAATTAATCGTAGGAAGGTTATAGGTAAAACAGACTTCCTATGAAGTTTCCTCTCATAATAAATAAAACCACAACTAGGAATCAATCAAAAAGATAAAACCAGAAGTGATGACAGAATAAAGAGAGTAATAAGTGAAGACCCCTCGAATAAAAAAAATACAGAAACATCTGAAAATAGCTTTTTTAAATTGAAAAATAGAGTGGAAAAGAGTGGAATAAGCAAGGAATAAACTAAACAGGCATGTAGTCAACACTTTAAATTGTATAGAAATGAAAGAAAACCAGACACTTCATTCAAATTTTAGAGGGGAATTGAAGGAAATCGAGCAACTCCAGCAGAGATTTTCATGTGAAACACATGCATGGTAATCTTATCTTAAATTGAAGATGGGATTATAAGAGGGTCATAACTTTTACGATGACCATAAAACTCATATATAACCATGCAAGACTGAATTTTATCATGCCTATTTGCATCATTTCATACTAAAATTTGAAAAAAGTGTATAATTTTCTTGCATTATCAGGGGTTTCACTAGAATTTCTCACAACAGGCTAAACAAGGCATTAACATGACAAAATGTCACCACCTAAAACAATTTGGTCAATTTAAAGCAAAAGTTGAAAAAATACCTCTTTGACTTTTTTTGACATTGAGAAGGTCATTGAAGGTCAAATGTCAAATGTAAAGTCAGATTTGAACTTCTGAGAACATGTAGATGATTTTGAAAAAAAAATGAAGTAAATTTGAAGCAAGTTGAAAAAAGACCTTTTTGACCTTGAAAAGGTCATTGAAGGTCAAATGTCAAATCTAAAGTCAGATTTGAACTTCTGAGAACATGTAGATGATTTTGAAAAAAAAATTAAGTAAATTTGAAGCAAGTTGAAAAAAGACCTTTTTGACCTTGAAAAGGTCATTGAAGGTCAAAGGTCAAATCTAAAGTCAGATTTGAACTTCTGAGAACTTGTAAAGTCAAATTTGAACTTCTGAAAAGATGTAGATGATTCTGAAAAAAAATTTGGTCAATTTGAAGCAAGTTGAAAACAGACCTTTTTGACCTTTTTTGACCTTGGGAAGGTCATTAAAGGTCAAATGTCAAATCTAAAGTCAGATTTGAATTTCTGAGAACATGAAGATGATTTTGAAAAGAAAAATTAGTCAATTTGAAGCAAGTTGAAAAAAGACCTTTTTGACCTTTTTTGACCTTGAGAAGGTCATTGAAGGTCAAATGTCAAATCTTAAGTCAGATTTGAATTTCTGAGAACATGTAGATGATTTTGAAAAAAAAATTTAGTCAATTTGAAGCAAGTTGAAAACAGACCTTTTTGACCTTTTTGGACTTGAGAAGGTCATTGAAGGTCAAATGTCAAATCTAAAGTCAGATTTGAAGGTCAAATGTCAAATCTAAAGTCAAATCTAAAGTCAGATTTGAATTTCTGAGAACATGTAGATGATTTTGAAAAAAAATTTAGTCAATGTGAAGCAAGTTGAAAAAAGACCTTTTTGACCTTGAGAAGGTCATTGAAGTTCAAATGTCAAATCTAAAGTCAGATTTGAACTTCTG